CTTGTCCAACTTGTCAAATAATTTATTACGCCACCAATAATTCTCATATCTAAAATTTCTGCAACATCATTTCTATCTTCCATTTTTACCAAATCGTTTTTAAAATTTTTGTCAAGACAGTTTTTATTTGGAACAGATAGATGATGATTTATTTTTTATATATATAAAAGAATTGTTTATTGAATTTGATTGGTTGATTTTTTTAGTGTTAACGCGTCCTACCCGCTGCAATAATTTCTAAATTTAGTAGATTTTCGTAGACCCCTTATTATTTGTAAATGATACTTACGTACCGATTTGACGAATGATAATTCTGCTGTTTTTTAGAGGAATAATATTTCGATTAAATATATTTGTTTATTTCCGAGAAAGCAAAAAAAAGTTTTATTTGTTCTAAATCACTGCAAACAGAAAGATAATATGTGATTGATGTAAAGTCGTTTATTTATTTATTTAGAGTTAAAAAAATTTTCACATAACGTTTTCAAAAATAATTAATTAAAACAAATCGGTAAAAAAATAATGTAAATATTAATATGAACATAATAAATAATTACTCCCAATTTGTTTACAGAATAAAAAAACATTAGTATTAGTAAGTATTCTTTAGATAATAAACAACGCCCATTTCAAACTTTTTTTTTACGGCATTATTTTTATCCTGTTGGTACTAAATATATATTAATATTAATGTGTCGTAATAATAAATTTCAAATTTTACTATTAGTCATTCAATTTTGTATTTCAGATGAACCTTTTGAAACAAGTACATTACTAATACATTCTTTAATAACATTGGTTCCCTTTTGGTCTTGTTACATAATATGCTCCCCATTTCCAAATAGAAAATCATTTTATTTTCTACAACTGTATATAAATATACAAATATGGCAATAATAATTGGTTACACGAAAATTTTGTTATATATATGATTTAAACTTTTTTTTTTGATGATTTACCAAATTTGTCGTTATCTTTCATTTAAAAAAAATAAAAAAAAAAGAGAAAAATAAAAAATGATTATTTTACCACCAGAGATTTTAACGCTTGTAATAAATTATTTACAAAATGATAGAAAATCATTATTCAATTGCATGTTGGTTTCAAGAGCTTGGTCGAAAATAGTTGTAAGATTTTTATACAAGAATCCTTTTAAACTGATATACATTCACAAAGAAGCTTGTAATTGTCAAAACGAAGAAGAAGGAATTTACCAAAAAAGGTGTTTGAAAGCCTACAATCTGTTTAATACGTTTATGAAATGTGTTATTGTTGAATATTATAAAGAATTAGTAGAAAACAAAGTTATTGGTGGCAATTATGATAACAACGATTTGGAGAGACCTATATTTTCATATCAAAGATTTATTAGAAATTTAGATTTTAATTATCTATTTCTAGCGGTTAATGATATTTACAGGCAAGTAATATTTTTACAAAAACCAAGTTCAAAAACTAAGACTAAAAAAAAAGTTCCCAAGAGAAGACATCGTCATAGATTTAATCGTAACGTTATTTCTGCAGATCACAGTAGCCCATATGATGCCATTATACCTTATAATAATAATGAGAACAATGAGAATAATGAGAACAGCGGCAGTGGTGGTGGTATTGGTGGCAGTAATATCATTATTAATAATTTTAATAATAATAAGTTAGAAGAAACCGAGGAAAAAAATTTCAATAATCATCAAAAAATCATTTCATATTTTGCAGTCAAATATCCACCAAATCCACAATATTCATTATCACAGTATTGTGATCATAAATTCGAATACTTGGAACATGGGAGGCATCATATAGCTTTATTACTTTGTCAATTTTTTGCAAGGGAATGTTGTCATGTTAACAGTTTGGACATCAATATGGATTTTGAAGATAATGCTAGTATTATTGACTCTGTTGATAAATTTTATTACTGTAAAGATTTACAATCAGGAAAAAATCCATTTTATTCTTTAAGATATATTAATTTAGATGAATATTTTATGATGCCAAGTTATCACTTTGATAATAATTACAATAATAGTCTAAAGTATTTGACAGAATTTATATGTACAACAAAATTTAGAAAATCAAGCCTATTTGTTTTACTTTCTGAAGTATCAAGAAATATTAAAACTATAATAGTAAATATAGGTATAGGATCAGAGCTTAGCCATATTCACAGATTTCCATTACATGCAATAAATAACGAGAGAAATTTTATGGAAAAAGAAGCAGAATGTCTGGCAAAATTAATTAAATCACAAAAGAATTTAATTAATTTTGAGTTACATAAATGTAGTGAAGGATTAATTCGTGTATTGGCAGCACTTAAATCTCAGTTAAATACTTTGAAATCTTTAAAATTAGTTAAAGTTAATTTATCATCTGATGATGATAAATTATTAGATTATTTCAATAGTAACGATTACCAATTCTTCGAACTTGAGTCACTTCATTTGGATGAATCAACAATAAATTATAATTTACTGGAAGTAATTTTACAAAATTGTTCAAAAGAAAAATTAAAAAAAATTCATACATGA